CGCAGTGACCTTAATTTTGCAGTTTTTCCATCCTCTGTTCCTATTAACGATCGGTGGTAGAACATTGGGGAGAATTGTCGAAGCCAAGGAACAAAACGAGACAACATGTTTAATTGAATGTTGAAAGCAAAAAAGTGAAAGGTGATTTCGATCCTTGCGATTTCATGGCAGTTTTAACTTGAGGATACATCTCGCTGATAATTAAACGGCCTTATTTTGGGATCTTCAGAGAAATGAGAGCGTTTTAACTGCGAAGAACCAACGTTTACGAAGCGTTCTAGGAATGTTTAGCCATACCCATGCTTAAGGCAAGCAAAGGGAGTAGAACGTCCGGTATTAAATGGGTACGGTAACTAGCTACGCCCACAGTTAATGCATCTAACAGGATTAGTGCCTCCGGATCTAAGTGACTACGGTAACGAGCCACGCCCACAGCTAACGCAACCAACGGGAGCAGTACCTCCAGGATTAAATGACCTCATCAAATTGTCCACTGATAGTATCACTTTGTTAAAATAAATAATCGATGTAATTCTCATCAATCCTAAACCTAATCAATTCATATCTATGAAACCAGCCTCGTTCTAAACAAGACTTAAACCAACCGATTTATTATAGTATTTGGAAGGGTAATCGCTCATTTCCTCGCCATTTTCAAATCAGCAATTCCCCACTTCAGTTTGCAACGTTCTTACATGGTTACGTTCACGAATTGCTTCAACCAGTTGTTGCTTGATAGAAAGACGGACGAGCATGTAAAACCAGACGCGCTGCACAGACACTTTACATGATTTTGATACGAAACCTCGCCCAAGACGTCCGAGGAGAAACGGAGGTTTTTTCGATGTCACGTAATCCACACCAAAAAAATTGAGCAAAAGCCAGAGACGGCAGCTTTTTCTATCCATATTTCTCATTATCAAACCTGGTGCTCATTCAAGCTTATTGACTTCACTGTTGGATTCACCCTAGCATGCACTAAACATCATGCTATAAATGCTCTATTCATTGTTGCTTCTCCATTTCTAATCTGTGCTAAACGACATTTGAAGAATTGTCTCTCATAAACTGTTTCCTTTCAAGAGAATCTATCACCCGTCATCATCCTATATTCGAAACAACTAATTCATTTCTCCACATTTCTTTCAATATGCTTAATACATGTGTGACGATCTTCTCATGAAATGTTCCTCAATCCATGATTAGTCGTTTCAGTCATACTTTGCTATATCTCTAGCAGTGTGTTGCATTAGCACATTTTCAGAATTGCTTCTCAAACTGATATTTCGAAAACCCTTTTTGTTCCAAGTTTTTGTCTCCGAACTACGATGCAAGCAATCGCGATAAAATCAAAACCTATACCGCAGTTCAATTCCTGTAAACCTACCGGCACTAAACTACAATAGTTGCCGTCATGGCAGTTCTAATCTCATTAAAACTGAAGATATCGCTAGCTTGTGGTTTTTTGGTGTAGTGTGTAGTAACACGTGGAAAAAACATTTATGCAGCTGCCACACCACGCGCCATTGGTATTTTCAAACTTATCCCAATCTCGGCAAAGCTGAGAGCTTACTTCCAGGCAGGGGCATCAAACTCGAGCCTGACCCTAGCATGTGACACCGAATTGTACCCGGGGGCTTCGAACAGTGTGCCTATGCACCTTGCGATTCTATCTCGCTCATGGAATGCCACCAAACCATGCCTAGCAATGTTTCCATCCATTATGCCTGGCGTGACAGCATCAAAAACACGATGATAATCAACGCGNCGGTGATGACCGCACGAAACAGTCACATAAAGAACAACGCGAAGTAATTACATAAACAACAACAACAGCAAGAGGACAATCAAACAAATATTCACACAAACACGAGATTTCAATGCCCGTATCCAATCACACAATCCGAAATAGGATAACACGGATAAATTCTGACCGAATGTCTTGAAAACGAAATTGAATCAAGTCAGTTGCCATCATTTCGGTTCAACTCAAAATTGGTTTGAGGTCAAGTCAAGCTAATGCTAAGTGAAGCCCGACTCAAGGCATCCATCGCTCCTTTATAAGGTATAAGAGCAATACGAGGAATGCTACCTGGCTTTCAGTCACTTACGTTATCAACTGGGTGCTCGAATGATAAAGTTTGAGAGAATATCATGATGTTACCCCGAAAACGCTGCTTAAAAAAGATTACCTTTACCACTTACACATCAACTCCTTCTAGTCAAGTGCTAGCAGGCAAGAGAAAATTTTAACCTCTATACACAGATCAA